TATGCGCTGCATCTGCTGCCTACTTATACTCACGCTGTGATCAGCAGCAGCTGGATGCAATAATCGCATGCCAATGTGCATTGGCTCGTTTAGTTTACACTCGAAGTAGATTGGTCCCTCTAAGCGAGATCCCAATTCGTCGGTCATCCGACGTGACGTCTCCGTTCCCTCCTTCAGGGACGAGGGTTACATACGTAACCGAGACGTTCTCCAACATCTTGGTAATAAAAGCTCTTATCGGGAGCTGAAGAAACAGCACCTCACATTTAAACAGGTGAAAGCTCTTCTATTATCAGGCTGTCTAGAGTCTTTACACTGCAGTTAACGCTGCTCTGCGTCTGCTTAAAATTCAGTGTAATGATGCAATGTTGTATAAAAGCTACATTAAATTATGCCAGCTCTGACCCACCTCAGCCCTTAGTATCAAAGTATATAGTTGTGATAGCTGTGTAAATGCATTTATGCCTCATCTGAGCAGCATTAAACAGTCTGTGTAAAGACACGTAAATGCCACTTCAGAAGCACTTCTGCGCCACCTTTGCAGTGTATATTTGCCATAGTTTGAATAATGGAAACACATGTTCAGTCTCCTAGGACTGAACGAAACCCAACATTTTAACTGTCAGTTTATCAGCAAGTTCCGAGTCATCCATTTCACCCTAAAATAAAAAAACGACCAAAAATCATTTTGCTTAAAGAGAAGCATTTAATTATGTTCTGTAGCACTGTAACATTTCCATAACAAATAAGCACATTTTCCCCCCAATTAAACATTAATGTATTATGACAATTAGCATTGAAAAATTTTTTTTGTGAATTTTAGAGAGAAAGCACATTACACAAAAACAGTACATAACACCAAAATAATGGTCCTAAAATGGAAGCTTGCTTTCATTTTACTTATGGGATTTTATTTACTTAGGGATTTTATTCATTGAATAATTGATGGGATTTTATTTATTTCTTGACTGACTGACTGGATTTTATGCATGCGTTTCATTTATGTGATTTTATTGATTGATTCATTGCCTACTACATTAATAAAATACAATTAATCAATCCATCCATACATCCATTCTTTTTTATTTATGGGATTTATTGATTGATTTAATTTTATATATATATTTTTTTTATATGAATATTTATATTAATATTTTAAAAATGTCATTTTAGAACATTTCAGAATTGTTACTTTTTTGACATGGTTTTGTAAGACTGACCCACTTGTACAGCTTATTTGTTCTTAGTTACTTTGTAACGTGTTTAACGATGCAAGAAGTTCTCACAATGAGCTGTTTACAAAAAAAAAAAAAATGGCTGAAGCTAGTTTGCAATGAACTATGCTCAGAGAAAGCCCAAAACAAAAGCACATAATCCTGTACTTTTCTGACAACCATACAAAGAACAGAAGCACAAAACTCCTCACAACAGAGCAATTCAAACAATTAGCCAGGCCAAAGATTATTTCCTTTCTATCATAACAATGTGTAAAGAACAACATACAGTCAAACCAAAAATTATTCAGACACCAGATATAATTTTTGACATTTTTTTACTAGTGTGTGCAGGACACTATAGTTCATTTATGTAAGTGAGCATAGCAAAATAAAGTAAACTGTGACATATTACACCCAAACATTATTCATACAGTGGACTACCAGTAAAACGGATAAACATTTGGGACCAAAAATTCAGACACTTTGACCTGACCATGTTTTGCTCAAGTGTTATCTGACATTATCAAGATGCATTTGTTCTGACACAGTTTAACTCGGAGTTCTTGTCATATTTTATTACCGAAACTATAGCAAATAAACTGTGATAATGTGCGAAATGTTGAAAGTGTCTGAATAAATTTTGGTTTGACTATATGTTGAGTGGTCCAGACTAAAGCATGCTAGATACTCAGTGTCACGTAACAGAAGTCGTGTGCAGAAGCTGCTTAACAGGAAAAAAAAGATTTTTTTGGAATGTAATGATGCATCATTGTGCTCACTGAAGGGTTTCTGGTGTCTCACCTGTAAAAGGCATGCGTCTCTGTGATGGACCGATACAGACCGCTGGCTGCTCGATTACTGATTAACTTGAACAGCAGGATCACACTGTCGCTGGTTTCCTTGGTGACAGTCAAGTAAACGCTCT